GCAATTGGCCCGCATACCGGTACTTTGAGACCATGGCTTTAAAGTGTATGCCAATGAAAACATTTTTTACAACACAGGAATCTGAAATTCAGAGATAATAAAAATCTGACAAGTGTTCTAGGCTTGCCCTACTCTACATAAATAAAAATGTTTTTTTTTGTCTCTGTATTGCTGTTGAGGTGTTCCTCTCACTTCCCTCTACTGGAGCCTTGGATAGCAGTATAAACTTGACAGGGGTTCCAACCCCTTCCTACTCTATCCAGAACGAAGAAAAAAATGTTTTAGCGTGACATACTGTACACTTTAAAGGAGAGGGAGTAAGGACATGCAGGAGCAAGTAAAGTAAGTAAATTAGGTAATATGAGAAATAAAAATCTTACAGAAGGTTCAAAACACGAAAGTAAAAATGTTCTCTGCTGTAAAAAGTGGACAGATTCTGGTTCTGAACCTGTCCACTTTATGGTTCACAAATGATGGTACTCACACAACTCCACGCAGAACTTTCTGTGGATCAGGATCAAAGAGTTTGTCTACATAGTGACGGCTGCTCGCTGTAACCTCCTAAAAATATATAAAAAATATTTAGAATTAATTTCGGAGTGGCTTATACTAACCAAGTTTAACATTCTAGAATTCAATTACTAGGCAAAAAAGCTGACACACATCAATAAACGAGCAGAGAAATTGTTCACATCATTGCCTGACTTCAGCATTCTGGAAAAAGCACTAATGGGGATGTCTTGCACACAAGCCATACCAAGAGGTATGCTATAAACCAGGCCTCAAAATTTCCACTCGCCCCCTCGCAATTTGTGAGTGAAAATTGCGTGGGGGCGAGTGGAATGCCATGGAGGGGGTGCGCCGCCGGCAGGACCTGCAATCGAACACTACCGCCGCTTCCGAGCGGCGATCACTGGCTTTGTGTTCACTCCTCCTGGCCCGCTCTGTAGCGGCCGCGTCCAAAGAGGAGGAGAATCAGATTCGGCTGTCTTCGGCTCCTTAAGGCACCTGCAGGCTTCCTCCGCCCAGCTCAGCTGGCATAGACTGAGAGGCCAGCTGAGCCTCTCAGTCTATGCAGAGTTACTATTGGACAGACAGAAACAAATGCAGCGTGGGACGTGAAAAGAAAGTTTTGTGTCGGTAGATGGAGGAGCTCTGTTGTGCCCCCCCCCTTCCCCACGACCACCACCAGGAGAAAGAAGAGGGCACCTAAATACCACCTAAATGAACTGTAAGTCCCTTTTCTTTCTTCCTTATACTGTTGACCTTGGAAACGCGCGGTGCAGCGCTGGCCTCGCCAACTCGCGGTGCAGCGCTGGCCTCGCCAACGCGCGGTGCAGCGCTGGCCTCGCCAACGCGCGGTGCAGCGCTGGCCTCGCCAACGTGCACTACTGACCTCTCTAATGTGTGTTACAGTACTGAGCTCTGTAATGTGCGTTACTTACAGTACTGAGCTTTGTAATGTGCGTTACAGCACTGACCTCTGTAACGTGCATTACAGCGCTGGTGTGTTTAGGGGCGGAGTTAGTGCTAGGGAAGGGTATGGATTAGGTGGGGCAACTGGTGGCGAGTAACTCTTAAGGCCTGGCTAGTAGCTCAGGACGTGAAATTTTGAGCCCTGCTATAAACCCTGCATATTCTAGCTACACAAGTCCTCTATTTAAAACAGAAGTGTAGATAACAGCAAAACAAATGGGTCAGATTTATTTAAGTATATTATTACTGTATAGTTGCATTTTCAGCCAGTGGACTAAGCTCTATAATTAGTTTCAAATCTTCCACGCTGAGCTTTGCAGATAGCAGCCTGTTTACAGAGCTCAATAGCTCAAAATGACATTTAAACACAGAACTGAAAAAGAGTCAGAACAGTGACACATCCCCCTCTCTTCTTGCAATTTCTATTCATTCCTAAACAAAGATCGTCCACCACGGGTGGACAAACAATGGATGGTCTTTCTATAGGAATGAATAGAGCTTTCAGCACACACAGAAAAAGAAACTAGGCAGGAATCTTCTGAAGAAGTGTGTAAGCCCAGCAAAGAGCTTGGAGGAATGGAGTCAAATAAGTGTACGGGCCGATTCACACCACGTGCGTTGGAGCGGCGCTGGATGTTGTTTCCACCACAGCCCCAAACGCAAGACAAGGCAATCTGCCTTGTCACAGATGGTGGCATTCAGACCATCGCATTGCGGTAGGAATGCGATGGTGTGTGCTGAAAAAAAAGTAAGGCATGCCTTACTCTTTTTTCATTGCAGCAGAAAGTGATGCGGTACAACCGACTCTCAGCCCTGTGTGCCAGTAGAAGTAGAACTGAATGAAACGTCACTTGTGACATTTCAATAAAGTTCTGGGGAAAAAAAAAGTACACAGTGCCAAGATCAGCGCAGCGGCACTGTACCGGGCACCACACACCAGACGCTGTGTGATTAGCACAGCGCCTGGTGTGAATTGGCCCGAAGACCTGGGGAGGGATGATGCTGGAACTTTTTTAGTAAAAGTACAGTTACCCTTTACATTATACTGATGTACCCTATAGGAACCCCATCACACTGTAAACTGTTTTTGTTTGTTTTTTTAGCTTTAATACTTTTTTTAATTTTAAATTATAACATTACATATAAAGACATTTTTACACCCACAAATACATCATAAAAAAACCCCAAAACAAAAATAAAAACACAGTTTAATTGATGCCTTGCAGTGCAGAGTTGTGAATTGGAATTCCACAGAATCTGCATGGAGTCTGTATATTTTCTTTGAGCTTGTATGAATTTAGTCTAGTTTAATCGATTATTGAAAAAGTTGACAACTTTTTCAATAATCGATTATAATCGATTATGTCGATTAGTTGTTGCAGCCCTAGAAAAATTCAAAAATTAGGAGGCAGCTGTCATTTGTAAGGAACACACTGAGCTCCTGGGATTTGTACATCTCTGTTTTAATGTACGATTTTGTTTTTATAAATATAAAGGGATGCACAGATACCAGTTTTGTGAGTACGAGTACTGGTACTTGCCAAGTACTTACAAGTATTTCTATTTCCATTCACCACCAATATATACTAAATAGGTTACCAGTGATCACTCTACCTGTAAGCGCCTTGTAAGCCTGTTGGGGTGTCAGGTCCTTAGTTCTCTACAAGTAACAATGTGAGTTAAAGGAGAACTATGGGGTTAAGGCTTTTCCCCATAGTTCTCCTAAGGGTAACGGGAGGACACAAACTGGCGTCCTCCCGTCACCCAAAGCTCAGTATAGCTGTAGCACGCGGTATATTGAGATGCCACAGCCGGAACGGATCCTGACAATTATGTCTGGATCCACCCAGCTGCGTGAACGACAGCTGGCTCTGCCTATCTAGAGGCAGAGCTAGCTGTACCCGCCCCCGTCCGTTCCGCCAGTCAGCGCTGGAGGATCGGACAGGGGAGGGGGGAATCCAGTCCCTCCCCTGTCACGGCTCTCTGCCGGCACAGGATCGAGAAGTGAGCGCACGCAGGTATGTGTTCGCTCACCTCCCGATCTACTGAGCCGACCTGTGACAGTTTCATTGTCACAGGTCGGCTAGAACTATGAGGTGAGTGAAAATCACTCACCTCATAATTCTCCTTTAACAGTGCGATTTACATAAAAAAAACATGAATACTTCTACATTTCTCTCATTCAAGATATAAACTATCATCACATGAATTATGGAGTCCTGAATACCACAGATGAATTTTGTCTAAAACATGTTTCTGCCTACTGTGCAGTGATTTATTTATTTCTGTATATAATATTAAGAGCACATAAAAGCAATATACTTTATGTAGCAGCAAGAGAAAAAGCTCATATGTTAGAGAGTCATTGAAAGTTTGCAGTGATGCAGTCTGAAACCAGCATGGGCTACTTGTGACCTTGGACAAGTTACTTTGACTTTTATTATTTTGTCTGCCTGTGACTTGGCATCAAAAATAGACAGTAAGCGCTACTGAGAAGCAAGGCATTTCCTGACAAATCCTGTGACAGAAATGTGCCTACTACCGGTATATAAAAAAAATAATACCGCAACAAATGTTACAAATATAATTTATACTTTTTACTGCAATTGTACTTTATTAAATAAGGGATAAACCAGGGGGACAGAACCATGCATGATGGGACTCCATTGCAAAACAATTAAAGGGCCTTCCTTCACCAATCTCTATGGTAATTGCTCATTATTATCATCATCCTGCACTATACCGGAAGAATGGGGATGACAATCTTGTTGATTTAGTTCTAGTTTCTGACATATAACAACGAATAAGACCTTGTGTTTTTAACTAGGAACAGTACCAGACACAGAGCACGATATATTTATTTATGGGGGATTTAGGATGCTTTTTACATTTCCAAATTCTCCCTACCTCCTGAACAAAAAAAAATAAACACTGTTAACAGAGCTCAATTACTCAAGCTGAAATTTACACACATGTACACAGGTCAGAGCAGTGACTAAACCATATCCTTCTGTGGGGCTCTGTAAAAGGTCAATTAGAGGAAGCTGGGGAGGAGATCAGCGAACCTCCGTTCGCCGATCCCCTCCCCGTACTATGGGACCGGGAGCGAAGCAGATTACATCACGTCCGGTCCCATAGCTGTCAGTGCTGGGCTCCTGAAGCCCAGCAATAAACTGGTGCGATCTGCACTTCAATCGCTTATTTCAACTGTAAAGGTGATACTAGGTGGCTTTTGGACCCCCAGTATCACCTTAAAGGAGTACCTGTCACTGCCAATATGCTACCACATGGGGGGCTTGTTCGCCCCCTAGGTGATAGCAAGTAAAGTTAAAAACATGTTTTTAAAAATAATAAAATAAATGTGAAAGAAAAGGAAAACAATGTGTTAAAATCCCCCGCGAGCACACGTATCTTCATGTAAGCACGCGCCTACGTATGAAAAGGAGGATCACGCTACAGATGTTGGATAAGAGACTAGCTTCCTGGCTGTCATGCTGATCTCCAACTTCACTTATCATGGAACAAGTATGCAGACTGGATGTTCTAGCTTCAGGCATACTTGTTCCAGTCAGTAACTCAGAAGTACTAAAAGCAGACGATCAGTATGACTCTCCCTACTCCATCCAAAAAAAAAAAAAACTGTTGGCGCTATATAAATCCTGTATAATAATAATACTGTGAGAACCCACATCGCTGTCTAACGTAGAGGTCATTTATAAAACACCATCCTTTCCACTATAGACCGAACAATTACTGTGCTACTTTTATTCCCCATGGTCCCTGTGTGAGTTGAAAAGTAGCCACCGCTGCAAGCTCACTGCCGTGATGGAGTACAGTCTCTAGTTTGCCAATTCATATTGAGATTGTAGTCCATCATGGTAGTGAGCTTGGAGTGGTAGCTACTGGACAACACACACAGGGACCATGGGGAACAAAAGTAGCCACCCTCCAGAAGGAAGGACAGTGTCAGCACCAATTCAGAGATGATTTGAGGATCTACAGCTGAGCGATACACAAATAAGATAGATTTTTGTTATTAGTTAAGGTACTTGAATGTATTCTTAAGCTTTAGCGCCTGAGTTAAG